ATCGCTTGGTACTGCCCCTCTGGGAAAGATACAGATCAATTCAATCAATGTATTGCTTTCTGTAACCTTCATGGTGATGCAGGAGACAGTGAGAAACAGCTGCAGATCCTCGCTGAAATGGCCTCAGTCAATGTTGTTATTCTACCACGACTTGACCAGAAAGACAAGAGTGCAGCACAGATGCAAAACCTGTACAAGGACAGAAAGCCACTTATTTGTCTTTTTACGGAGGATGAATCTAGTGTAACTGAGATGAGGAGCGGGAAATACAAAATTGGATTAAAAGAAAGAAATCAGTCAGAAGTATCTGAAGAACTTGAACAAGCTATAAATGAATGTCTCTCATTCTTATCGGCAGAATCACCTTCTATTTTCAGACTTGAAGATGTGTCCAAACACTCAGGTATCAGAGTAGATGAGAAATATGATGACGGCTGCAGGACAGGAAAAGAAGATGCACAGACGATGATGAAATTACTGAAGGATAAAAATGTGACGGAAATCAAAAAATCATTTCTGTCCTGCCAGGGAAAACTATGGCATCAGTGGTGTATAAAGAACAAAGAACTACATCGATCTCAGGGAAATGAAATAGAAATGGAAATAAAACAGAAACTAGAGATGAAGAAAATCCGTGAAGAGCAGCATGTGTTGGACATTGGTGAGTTCATGAAGTTCTTTATTACAGAAATGAATTCACAATCTCCAAATGAGAAGATATTTTTTCTGAAATGGCTCACAATCCTCCTGGATGAACATACATCAGCGGACCTTTCTGCTCTACATTACAAGTATGATGAAAAGTGGTCAGAAGTCTTAAAACTAAAAGAGAACAATGAGAGATTTGAGCAACAGATGGCAATAAATTTGTCCAATGAACAAACTGAACTTGATAAGATATCAGAAGAACTTCAAGCAGCAACCTTTGGCTTGGAGCACATCCTGAGGGAGATCGGTCAGATCTATGAATCGTGTCAATCAGTCAATAAGAACAAAGAAGGTCTGCCATGTAATTTTTCTTCTCTCCCGAGTCTTGCAGCAGAGATGATGATCTCTGGATTTCCACAGGAGCTGATGGATGGAGATGCTGCTCATGTTCCTTTGGTTTGGGTTACTGCTGTTCTACATGAACTCATTCAGAAATTGGGAGACAAGAGAGTGTTTGTGCTGTCAGTTTTAGGGATTCAGAGCTCTGGGAAATCCACTATGCTGAACGCCATGTTTGGACTCCAGTTTGCTGTCAGTGCTGGTAGATGCACCAGAGGAGCTTTCATGCAGCTGGTCAAAGTGTCAGAGGAGATAAAGATAAAAGAACAGCTGAAGTTTGACTTTATTCTGGTTGTTGATACTGAGGGGCTTCGTGCTCTAGAACTATCTGGAAGGTCAAGAAGACATCAGGACAATGAATTGGCCACATTTGTTGTTGGTCTTGGTAATTTGACATTGATCAATATCTTTGGAGAAAACCCATCAGAGCTGCAGGACATTCTTCAGATCGTTGTTCAGGCCTTCATGAGGATGAAGAAGGTCAGACTGAATCCCAGCTGCATGTTTGTTCATCAGAACGTTTCAGAAGTCACAGCCGGAGAGAAAAACATGGAGGGAAGAAGACGGCTGCTGCAGACACTGGATGAAATGACAAAACTTGCTGCTAAAGATGAAGTCTTTGATGCTGAATGTTTCAATGATGTCATTACTTTTGATATTCAGAAAGATGTGAAATATTTTGCACAGCTGTGGGAGGGAAGTCCACCAATGGCGCCTCCAAACCCATCATATTGTGAAAACATCCAAGAGCTAAAGAAAACTTTTTTTAGCCATGCCTCAAAATCTTATGGCTTAGAGCTGACACAACTTAAACGCCGTATTAATGATCTCTGGGAAGCTTTACTGAATGAAAGATTTGTGTTCAGCTTCAAAAATGCTCTGGAAATCGCAACATATCGGAAACTGGAGACAGAATACAGCAAGTGGTCTTGGAGTCTTCGTAGAACCATGCTGGATATAGAGAACAAACTCTACATCAGCATAGAAAATGAAACAATTAATACAGTTCCAGAAATTGATCTTCAAGAGAACCTAAATGTGAAAAGTGAAGAAGTAGAAAAATCAATGTCAGAATTCTTTGAGAAAGACAAAGATAAAGATATACTGATACAGTGGAAAGTATCATTTTATATCAAAATCAAAGATCTTCGCGAAAATATTGTGAGAGAAACAACGAAGAAATTAAATGAGATTCTTCAGCAGCGAGAAATGAAGAAAAGGATTGATGCTCAGAGGACACATCATGAAAATGATCTCTTGGAAAAGAGCAAAGAACTTGCAATAAAACTCAAAGACAAAGCAAATGATGAAAAAATCCTGAAAAAAGAGTTTGATTCCTTTTGGAAAGAATGTGTTAAGAAGATTACTGCAGAAACTCCTCCAATCAAAGACATTAATGTAATAAAAGACATGAAGCAACTCCTCAGTAACTATGAAAGTATCCCTGTAGAGGCCTGGAAGAACAGCAGGGATATTTTCTTTGTGCAACATTATTCAGATTACATACAGAAACTCAGAGGAGTTACAGGACATGCCATCAGATCAGCTAAACTGAAGTTTGAGGTTGAAACCCAAATTAAAACCTTAGTCAGTGACATTGCTCAACATGCAGACAAAACAGTCATGTCATATAAAATTTCAAAGACGGGTTACAACAAAACCTACATTCAGGAACTCGCAGATTATATCAAAGCAAGAGTAGCAAAATATGAGCAAGGTTCCAGGAACTATGTGTTCAAAAAGGAATTTTACATGGATTTGGTCATTTCCATCTGTAAGAGAATAAACAAGGTAATTACTGACCAACACAGAAGGTTTAGGGAAGCCAACGATCCGGTTTTATACTTTGAACAGAAGAGCAAAGAGTACTATAGTATTTTTCAGAAATACTGTCAAGGTGCAACATCAGCTGCCATTTTTGGTGAGATCATCTGTCAGAAACTGAAAGAGCCCATTCAGAAGAGTGTCTACAAAGATACAGCCAGAGATATGACTAATGATATTCAAATAAACTGTGAATCACTAAATGGAAACCGATCTAAACTAGAGAAGCACATTCTCAAGAGGTTGGCAGAACAGGAGGAATTTGAGAAGTACATTACATACTTTAATTATCCCAGAGACCACTTAAAGAGTTTTGTCAGAGATGAAGTCATTCAGTACATCACTGATAAGTTTGAAGCCAGTGTTCGCCCCAAGATGAAGGAGAACATTGAACTCCTGCACCAGAAGATCATGGAAGCAGCTCATAGAGCAACTACAGTGGTCAACACAACCAGTGGAGATGTTCAGAAGTGGCTGGATAATTTCACACAGCAGCTCTCAGATGTGCTGATATTCTCTGTAAAGGAACTCAGTGGAGTGAGTCATGAAGGTGTTGATGATTTCAACCTCCTAGAAGATGTTATAAGCAAATTACTTGGTTCAGTATCATCTGAAATACAGCATAAATTCAGCACAGAGACATTTCCTGTAAATCTGGAAGAGAAGGACAGACCAGATGAGATTCTGATTGATCATCTCTGTCAGTGCTGCTGGGTTCAGTGTCCATTCTGTGCAGCCACCTGCACCAACACAATAGAAAACCATTCTGGAGATCACAGTGTTCCTTTCCATCGAGTGGATGGACTCACTGGAAGCTGTTATGATGAAACAGAGTGTCTCAGTGCAGATTTTTGCACAAATTTAGTGAGAACTAGTAAAATGTTCTATACAGGTCAGTGGTTTCTGTGCAGAGAATACAGAAAAGCAGGAAATGTTTATGCAGAGTGGAACATCACTCCTGACTTCTCTGAGCTGCCGTACTGGAAGTGGTTTGTGTGCAGATTTCAGGAAGATCTGGAAAACCGCTTTGAGAAAACATTCCACACGTGGGATGTGATTTCATATGAATGGAGCCGATACTCAAAAGAGCAAGCTATCGAGAGTTTGGATGAATACATCTAATGACAAATGAAAATGACTCACATGGTGTCCATTCTGTGCAGCCACCTGCATCAACACAATAGAAAACCATTCTGGAGATCACAGTGTTCCTTTCCATCGAGTGGATGGACTCACTGGAAGCTGTTATGATGAAACAGAGTGTCTCGGTGCAGATTTTTGCACAACTTTAGTAAGAACTAGTAAAATGTTCTATACAGGCCAGTGGTTTCTGTGCAGAGAGTACAGAAAAGCAGGAAATGTTTATGCAGAGTGGAACATCACTCCTGACTTCTCTGAGCTGCCGTACTGGAAGTGGTTTGTGTACAGATTTCAGGAAAATCTGAAAAACCACTTTGATAAAACATTCCACATGTGGGATGTGATTTCATATGAATGGAGCCGATACTCAAAAGAGCAAGCTATCGAGAGTTTGGATGAATACATCTAATGACAAATGAAAATGACTCACATGTATGCAGTAGCGACTCCTGGCCATAAAACAGATATGCCAGCTAGTTACTGACCTGATGCAGACACATATAGCTGTGGTAAATGGCTCTCAATGAGAGCTTGCTGCAGTTCCACTTTTCACAACAGATTTACATTGTAAAATTTGTGGGGCGCAGTTGAGTTCAGGAGGACACTGGCGCGACTGCCTCACTCAGTATCATTTTATGTGCCTGCCAAAGTTTGCGATGAATTTTTATATGTCCTGCGTATTTTATTACTTAAAATTCTCAAGAAATCTGAAAAATATTTGTTGCAGAATGCATTTACAGTTTATTATTTTTTCAGTTTGTATAGAAGTCTATGTTTTGGGTGAATATTTCTGCCCTCAAAGACAAGCTGCTCCTGCATTTAGGTCCACAATTTGTGAAATTGAGAGGGGTTTTTTGATCTGTGAATCAAATGATGTTTTTTCATTAAATTACATATATGTAATAATTATGTCATCATTAGGGTTGCCAATTAACTTCAGAAATGGAAAAAAGGGACAATTGTGATTCTTTATCTTTTATTCTTTAAGGAAATAGTGTTTGTTCTTGTATTTTTGTAGAAAATAAGTGTTTATTCTTTAAGAAAATAAGGGACGCTCCAAATATTTGTACTGTACCATAATGTAGGCTGTCTGCATGCAGCTAAAAAGTTATCCGAAATAATCACAATTGTTTTGCTTAATTTGTGTACAATTATTCTAAAAAGAATTTTAATGTCATACAAAAAATGTCATTGGCCTGAGTAAATTGTACCAATATAGAATTGTGACTTCACAAGTGTATAATTTAGGAGGTGAAAATACTGTGAAATTACAAATGGCATGAAATTTGAAAGCTAACAACTGATGGTCTATGAAACGTCAGTCAATAAAGCATTTTTAACAATGGCACTTAAAGTTTTGAACTAAAATATCATTACAACCATATAGCCTTTGAATGAATGAAAATGCATATTTTTTCAATTAACGAAAACTTATAGAAAGTGGGCTGCTTCTGGTGCTTGGATTTGTACTTCAATAATGAGGTACACATTTAAGAATATGCTAGAAGCTTTTTTTTTTATGTATTTTTTTTCTCTCTCTATTTAACAGCATTAACTTACAATGAAAGTTTTAAAAGGTCTTAAAGCCTTCCTCAAACGGCTTCTTCACAAATAAAACAATGATTTGCACAAAAAAAAGGATTAATTATCAATTGAGAATTTGTTATTGATATGGTCTGGTGAAAATAATAATATGGGCTGCGAGAAAATAATACATAAAAAGAGTGGGGCTGCTATGAGTGCAGGCAGTATAGGGACAGCATCCATATTTCAACCCAGTGGCATGACAACCCCGGCCCTCGCGGCCAAGAATACAGACCAGCCCACCGGGAATCCTCCCGGTGCTCCCGATTAGCCAATCCGGGCCTGGTTATACTGTATATAAATTACATATATAGAATTGTTTCTCTCTACCCCTGTACTTCACAGCTTTCCAAACCTATTGTATTAACATTTTTCAAAACTGTGTGGAAACCGATGTGAAATAGTTTGCTGAAATAGTGTAATGACATTTTAAGATTAATCATTTATCTACAGTTCTGTTATCTATTAATGACAGATTAAATTCTAAATGTAAATTTGTTTAAATAACAGATTAAAAACATTTTATAAATGAATAAAAATATATGTGTTTGAATGTATCTAGTGTTATGTAAAAAAAAAAAGGTCAGAATAAGTGTAAGCGGTCTTAATAGAGTGGGGGAACTATGACGTCACTTTGTAGGTGGATCGGCTGTTACCATGACACTGGTTCCTCGACAAAAAAAACAATAAGGTTTTTCCATAGGCTTTTGGATAATTGCAAAAAATAAGCTCCTTTTTCAATCATAGTTCATTAATCTTACACATTTTGTCCACCAAGATAATCTCCACAAAATATTATAGCTTTTATTAATTTTGAAGCCTAAATAAAAGCACCAGAACTTAAAAGCTAAACTTACTATAAACTATAAACAATAAAACAAACTACAGCACCACGGTCGCTCGCCTTCAACGTCACCACCACCATGCTCCCCATGCAACATGCTTTTTCAAACTTACTTGCCAAAGTAAGGAGACAACAGGAACGTAATATTATCTATGAGATTAACAAATGTTGTAGTGAGAGTGTATTGAATGATTCTGAAAAAGCAAAATGGTCTCTCTACAATCAGAACTGGACAATATTTACATTAAGAAAGCTAAAGGTGCATATATACGTTCTAAAGCTAAATGGATAGAAGAGGGTGAAAAAAGTACTTCTTACTTTTGCAGATTAGAAAAAAGACGACAATCGAGTAACTCAGTCATAACAAATATATTCTTCACAGAAACAAATCTCTGTTTTATGAGGACTGGGTAAATAGAAATATTTGGTCAGTGTTGGATCTAATGGATGAGACTGGTAATATGTTAAATTACAATGCATTTACTTTAAAGCATGGATTTACCTGTCATCCAAAGCAATTCTTTACTGTTATTAATGCAATACCTTCAGGTGTAAAAATGTTAATGAGATGTTCTCTTTCCTACTCAAAAATGACTGCAGTCCTTCCTTTATTATATGTTGGTGATATTGAGATAGAAAACAAACTCTGCACTAACAAATATATAAGACAATATATCATCCAGTCGTGTTACCCTTGTCAAATATTAAGAAATAAATTAGATCATACATTTGATAAAAACACTGTTAAATATTTCAGAACAGCTTATCTAAAATTTCCTATTCTCCCCAAGGTAAAGGAAATGCAATTTAAAATATTAAATGAAATATATCCCTCCAATAAATTTCTACATTCAAAATTTAATTTTGAAAATGAGCCCTGTAATTTATGCAAATATTTAGTAGAAGATACAGAACATGTATTTTTTACATGTAGTTTGTCGCAGTCTTTTTGGAAGGCATTGCAGGACTGGATGGTAGAGAAGGGTGTGATTGCTGATGGTTTCACTCTAACCTTACAAGATGTAATGTACGGAACAACCAAAGAGTGCTCTGGTTTGTATGATTTGATTAATAATATTATATTATTAGCAAAATACTTTATACATAAATGTAGATATTTTAAATCCCCTCCTTTGTTTATTGTATTTCAAATTGATCTAAAATACTTCTCAGATACCCTTAGTAAAATGAAAAATCCAAAAGCAGTAAAACTACTTAATTTGTTTGTATTATATAATTTCTTGTAATTATGTATTATTTTATTATTTTATTTATTTTTATTTCATATTTTATGTTTCTTGAAATGTTTTGTTATATGATTTGTCTGGAGCTTATTATGATTCTATTATGTTGAGCCTTCCATACCAGAATCTTTTTTTGTATACTAATTAATGCCAGTTTGTTGTATCCAGATTTTGTACTTAATAAAAAAAATAAAAAAAACATGCTTTTTCAAACTTATTTTTAACATGTTCAGGATTTACTCTGTGAATGAGTTTTAATCCACACTACATTAACCTTTTCATATAAACTGGAATAAATACAAAAGTAGAGCCAAACTAAAACTGAAATGAGACGTAATAAATAGTATAGTGAATAAATGAAATAATCATAACTAAAGGACATATGAAAGCACGTATTTCTGTACATTTCGAAATAAGCTGCATTAAAAGTCAATAAAGCCTTGATTCATATGAATATTTTAATTAAAAACGTATCTCCACGTACTATTCAATAAAATTCTAGTGCATTTAACCTATTAAATAACAGCAGAGTGTGCGAGTTTTTGGATATGGTAAGATTAAAGCTGCAGTCTATAACTTTTTGGTGTTCAAAATGTACAAAATTTATATAATAATAATAAGCGAGTTCACCATGAATCCATTTTCCAAACCGTGTTCTTGGCTTGTCCTGAATCACTACGGTACGCCTATAATAAGTGTTTATTTTCTGACTATTTTAGACTGGTTCGGGTAGGTACCGCTGCGGAGTAGCCCAGTACCTGCGTGATTCGCCATAGACATAAACAGAGAGAAGTAGCTCCGGCTACAATGTTCTTCCGCAAGACGCATGCAGTTCTGTTTATTAACCACTAGAGCGCCAAAAGCTACGACACTGCAGCTTTAATCTTATTTTTGTGAATAAAGTACCACATTTCAGCTATCATTTTGTTAGGGAGGGTACACAAAATGTTATTTTATCCTTGCTTCTAGAAAATCCACAATCTATAACTGCTTCCTGTGGCCATAAACATTTCATTTTAATGTGGCTTTAAGCACTACCCTTACCAAAAAGTAGTATACTTCAAGTTTATTTTAGTAAGTATACTTAAGTAAAGTGCAAGTATATTTTTAAGTGTACTTTATGTAGTAAGTATACAAATATCAGTGTACTAGTAGTATACTTGTAAGTGTACTATTTCAATACTCCTTGGGACTAAATTGGCCCACTTTCTAGTATATAAAACTATACTTTTAAGTATACTTTAAGTATAACAGTAGTAAACTTTGAGTACACAACTAGTTTACATCAAAATGTTTAGTTTGTACTGCAACTATACTAAAAGTGAACATATGTATACTGATAGTCTAACACTTGAATAAACTTATTTTTCGTAAGGGTATGCATCGTTAAAGTTTCCCTTTCACCGTGACTAAGCCAGTAAATGTGTTGTTTACATATGAATAATCGTAATATGAGTTTTCCTTATGGTCCGAACCCAGACTCTCCGTATCAGTAGGAAAGCGATAAAATGAGCGTCTTCTATCCGAAGACTTGTGTTGCATTTCAGGGCAAAAAAACAAACAAAAACATTGTCGAATAACAATAAAATATGTGGGAAATTATTAATTCGTTATTCTACAATTAATTGTACTATAGATTATACTACAATTGGAAAATACTGTAAATTGATAAACTGTTCGGCGTGATGACGTTTAATGTCTCTAACAGCGCCTGTCCCATTTAGCAACTTGTTAACATCCGTCTTTTTTAAGAAACGTAACAGTTTAAAAAATCACGAGTGGGGTGTAACTGGTGTGTTTTATGTCGTAGAATAAAACGTGAAAGTATCTTGAGCTTGTGTGAACCACGGACCTTATTTTAGGGGATTTATCCAAACTCCCATTCAAAAAACCCATTGACTCTGGGGCTGCGTTCCACCCCACTTTTAGACACGCACTCGAGAACTTCCCTAAGCACTTCCCCTCGGGGGAATCCCCACTGCCATTTTGAAGTGCGTTCCACTTCGTGAAGTGGGCGAGGGAAGTTTATATGGACAGACCTTCGACCCCTCGATTTTGACCGAGGGAGCGAGTCTGCTTCATATGCACACTTCAGGCCACTCCATAGACCACAATGCAACACGATTGTGACGTCATCGCAGATCGGAAGTTTGCGAGTGAAGGGCATAAAAAAATGAACTGGAACGCAGCCAAAGTGTTCCACCACTCTATTGATTGGCATGTATAAAAGTAAATAGGCCTTAAAAACCAAGGAGTTTGTGTGACTATCATGAATAGCCTACAGAGGGCAGCAGAGCTGTTGTACTGAATACTGACCCTTTTCACAAT